GGTGTGAGCGGGAAAGGGTGAACCAAGATTGCTTTAATTTATCACTCAGGAAATTAGTACATCTAATCACCTTCCACAAATTTCTGCGAAGGTCGCCCAGACTTTGCAACAATTGTGTTCTCAAAAAACAACAAGCCCAGGAATGGCCCCGCGCCGGCCATGAAGTTAGCAGAGCCGGCTTTAACAGCCGAGCGGCCTCGCCTCCACGAGTTCACTCACACATCAGCGCTGACGAGCAGCGCCGCCGCCATCGCCCAACAGGCGACATAGCGGCTCGTGTGATTTTGCTGTTGATTCAAAGTCGGATAACTCGCGTAAGAGGAGGATTTGGCGTTCGTCCTCTCATGGTGGGGGACAATTGTCTCAATGTCTTAAAAAGGTAAGGGTGTAGGCCAATTCCTAATGGTAGGGAGCAGAAGTCGCCAAAATAGGCCCAAGCCTTCCAAACACAAGTCACAATGTGAGAGATGAAATAGGCCCAAGCATAAGACCAAGCGTTCGGGAACAATTCCTAACGGTAGGGCAGAATAGGCCCAAGAAGTCTCTGAATTTTAAAGAGAAAAGTTAAAAGATAACTTATTTCAGAGAATCTTTGGGCCTATTTCATCACTGACATTGCGATTTGCCATCGGAAGGCTTGGGCCTATTTGGCCACTGCTTGGGCCTATTTTCGTTCCTGCCATTGTGATTTGCATTCGGAAGGCATGGGCCTATTTTTCATGTCCTGCGCCGATTTCATCCCTGCCATTGTGATTAGCGCTCGGAAGGCTTCCGAAATGCTGCGACGAAAAGGCGTGACTGCGACAGGGCACCCATTTCAAGGCCACGAAAACTATTAATTTCCAGCTTCCAAAGCATGCCCCCTCGCAGTGCTAGCACGGTTGAAAGGAGCACGCGTTCATACGGTGGCCTTTTGATTCAAGTCACGCCACCATCTCAGTTACAGCAAGCGTGCGTGTACAATGAACGGTTCATTGCTTCTTTTAGAAGCGAAGTGACACATGCGTCCACACCCGGGCTTCGCCCGGTCGCAAGATCGCAGAGACCATTGCGCGAAGAGCGCCCTGACGTAGAATCCAAAGTGCTGCACCCCTGCATGGCTTCACCAAGGTTCTGCACTTGGCCGCGTTCACTCGGAAGCACGTTGGGCCACTAGCCAAGCAAGGTCCGCCACCGTCAGGCCTTGCGCCTTCTTCATCAGCCGGCTACGCTTCTTGACCTACAGGAAAGCTTTTCGTCACTGCGTGTCAGCAACCCTTTGGCCAAAAAAACACAGTGGAAAACGGCTCCAAGGTTTGACCGGGCTTGATACCCAAGGCCTCTTTGCGCACTGTGCAATGTGGATTGACCTTCCAATGCTTCCTAGAAACGATGCACCCAGTCGGACACTGTGGCGCATATGCTACGGACGTCTCATCAAAGTTTAACCAGAGCAGCTTCCGATCTTTCTATTTGTCGGCGATGTACGACAAACTTTGCCAGAAGGTCCAAGCCTGAGGCCCAAGATCGCGTGAGGTGAATGGTTGCTCAAATTGTGATTTTTGCGTCTGCGTACCGGTGCCAAAAGTGAATCCGCTTTCCGGCCTTACTTTTAGCACCAACGCATTAATGGGGCCTTTTTTCAAAGGCCGCCAGATGGACTCGTTTTTCAGACCAAACAATTGCCCGTAGATCGGCAGGATCCACGCAGTCTCTAACACGGAGACGTCCGCGGCGGACAGACCATCGCTTCCGCCAGCGCATCGCCCACTTTTGGATGCCTCACCTTGTCAATGGCTCGCCTGGAGCTGCGTGAGCCTGCCTCAATCTAAACTGCTCATAGACTTGCAAGGCTGCTGGAGCTGCGCTGTGCACAAGAGTCTGAAGACCCAGTGCTTTCTGCGCGAAGCGACAAGCCAGGGTCCATTGTACATTGCCTTCAGCATGCATGCGCAGTAAGTCTCCCAGGTTGGCTTCACAAACAGACGTTGAATGCAACTTTCGGTGGGATAATCTATACCATATCCAGCCGCACAGCCCTCCACCCGGGATTGGCTAAAGACACACGATCAGAACGCACGCGGCAACCTAGCATGAGAGAAAAGCTCTTTGGCGTAAGGCTCCCTTGCATATACCTAATCCTGTCCGTAGCGCAAATTTTTGTGCAGCATCACACATTCAAATGTTTCCAGTATAGGCGCCGCTACCAACATTCCACTTTACAGTGGTATTTCTGGGTGAATTGACGTCAATGGGGGGTGGAAGAAGATTGGCGCATAGCTAGCGTTGCCTTGACGCACTCTGACACACTTATGGATATGCATACGGACTTGACAGCGGCGCCGCACGCCAGCCTAGGTTTAAAAAACCTGAGTAAAACAAGGTGCAAAGTTGGAGGTCATCGCTCTTAGGTTAGAGGCCATCGAAGGCAGGTTGAGAGGCCATCGCTAGTAGGTTGAAGACAAGAAACCACAAGACAGCAAAGCGGTCAAAGTTGGAGGTCTTCGCTCTTAGGTTGGAGGCCGTCGAAGGCAGGTTGAGGGGCCATCGCTAGTAGGTTGGAGACACGAAACCACAAGACAGCAAAGCGGTCAAAGTTGGAGGTCTTCGCTCTTAGGTTGGAGGCCGTCGAAGGCAGGTTGGGGGCCCTCGCTAGTAGGTGACAAGAAACAAGACAGGCAAGACAGCAAAACAGCCACAGTTGGGGGTCCATTCTAGTGGGTGGAGGCCAAAGTTCAGGTTAAGAACCCTGTTACAAAGTTTGGAGGCCTACCTGCAACCTATAGGGTAGTCTAGAGGAGAACAGAAGGAAAGGCGCCGACGCACAAGTGTGTCGAGTACCATTTCCGCCTGTTCTCCTAAGTAGTGGAACAGGTGCACAGTGGGGCGTCCCCCACTGTATCAGCACCTGCTTCGTTGGACGGGAAATGCCAGAGGCGTCCCGTCCCCCTGTTCCAAACCTTAAGGTTCCCTTTGATTCCAAGGGTTACACACACACGCCTCCCCGCAGGGAGGCATGTGTGACCTCCATCCTGCCCGGAAAGGAGGTGGGCACATGTGCGCGCAAAAGGGACAGATGAAAATGAAAAGGACAAGACAGACAAAGGTGTGTGTGGTTGCCGACGAAAAGGGGCCAAGTGAAGAGGGACAACCGATGAGCCAAACCTCATTGTAACGAACCTGGGCCACCTGAACCTCGCTGTAAGTAGAGTACGCGTGCGTGTATGTGTACAAACTAAAGTCCGGACGATAGTGCGCGCAAGAGAAAGAAAGGATGAGGATGAAGAGACATGAAGACAGAAGGACATGAAAGAAAAGAAGGGGAAACGTCTGTGGGGGCGGATGAAAGGGGAACCAAATGAAAGGGGACAAACCGATGACAGTCCAAACCTCATTGAGAAACCTGTTGCAGAAGCCTAGTTTGCTTGTAAATACGCCACGCGCGAGGAAAGAGAGGAGGAGGAAAAGAGAAGGAGGGAGAGAAGGAAGCAAAGGTGTTCCCAGCTACGGCACAAGCGTCCAAGGACACATCAAGAAGGAAGGGCTCCCAGCTATGACGAAAGCGTCCAGGGACGCCCAGGGAAGAGGGTGAAGAGAGGAAAAAGAGAAGGAAAGAAAGAGGGAGGGAGAGAAAGGGAGAGGAGAGAAAGGAAGGTGTTCCCAGCTACGAACAATCGTCCAGGGACACACCAAAGAAAGAGAGGGGAGATCCTGAGTATTACATTCAGGAAAACCCCAGAAAGCAAAAAGAAAAAGGGGGAGGGAAGGGGGGAGAAGGGGGGCTAAGTTCTCCACACATTCCAATGAACCTTGAACAAACTTCGGCCGCTGCGCGCCGTGCCAATATGGCTGGCTGCTTTGACCGCTGCGGTCACGTAAAGGCATAAGCCAGCTTGGAATTCCAAAGATGAGACAAACATCCCACTTCTTGTGGCGTAAGCCATCTGCTGTACTTACATCTCTGGGCAGGGGGATAACGACCCCGTTCGACGGGTCCACGGGAGGCACTCTGCGGGCTCATCCCGGGTTGGCGCGAGGCCAAACACACTTATGGATATGCATACGGACTTGACAGCGGTGCCACACGCCAGCCTAGGTTAAAAAAACCTGAGTAAAACAAGGTGCAAAGTTGGAGGTCATCGCTCTTACGTTAGAGGCCATCGAAGGCAGGTTGAGAGGCCATCGCTAGTAGGTTGAAGACAAGAAACCACAAGACAGCAAAGCGGTCAAAGTTGGAGGTCTTCGCTCTTAGGTTGGAGGCCGTCGAAGGCAGGTTGAGGGGCCATCGCTGGTAGGTTGGAGACACGAAACCACAAGACAGCAAAGGGGTCAAAGTTGGAGGTCTTCGCTCTTAGGTTGGAGGCCGTCGAAGGCAGGTTGGGGCCCTCGCGAGTAGGTGACAAGAAACAAGACAAACAAGACAGCAAAGGCGTTCGTCCTCTCATGGTGGGGGACGATTGTCTCAATGTCTTAAAAAGGTAAGGGTGTAGGCCAATTCCTAATGGTAGGGAGCAGAAGTCGCCAAAATAGGCCCAAGCCTTCGAAACACAAGTCACAATGTGAGAGATGACATAGGCCCAAGCATAGGACCAAGCGTTCAGGAACAATTCCTAATGGTAGGGCAGAATAGGCCCAAGAAGTCTCTGAATTTTATAGAGAAAAGTTAAAAGACAACTTATTTCAGAGAATCTTTGGGCCTATTTCATCACTGACATTGCGATTTGCCATCGGAAGGCTTGGGCCTATTTGGCCACTGCTTGGGCCTATTTTCATTCCTGCCATTGTGATTTGCATTCGGAAGGCATGGGCCTATTTTTCAATGTCCTGCGCCGATTTCATCCCTGCCACTGTGATTAGCACTCGGAAGGCTTCCGAAATGCTGCGGCGAACAGACGTGACTGCGACAGGGCACCAATTTCAAGGCCACGAAAACTATTTATTTCCAGCTTCCAAAGCATGTTCCCTCGCAGTATATTTGGACTATAGATGCCTTTCCATGTCCATGCGCGCTTCTCACTTAGGCTGCATTTTTCAGAGTTCGAGCGAAAGTTGAGGGAACTCACTGCATCTTGGCCCAATTTTGTGCTGAATGGGTTGAACCCTCAGATCATGTTGATTTTGGTGATGCATGTGATGCGCACTACCTTCGTCTTGCAGCTATCTTCAGCTAACTACTTCAAGTCACGGTTCCCCACCTCGGATTTTCTTCCACTTTGCGATGGCATTGGCGACCACTGAAAAAAGCGATGCGACTCTCATAAGGCGGCTGGCACATTTTGCAAGTGACAAAACCAGACAAAAGCTTTGATTCGCACTTTTTGGCGGAGGCAATGCAAGCCAGATTGGTATAGCGATAGAGGTTGCCAAGTTTCAATGGTTTCTTTCAAGGACGCTCTTTGCCAGCTGCGGGCTACAGCTTCCAAGGGACGAGCCGGAGGATGCCTTGCTTGCAAAGGCCGGCCTTCTGTTGGCGTATGTGAGCCGTAAGATGTCCAGGCCTTCAGGTTCAAGCACCGCACCCGACCGCGCGCTCACACTTGAGAAGAAGCTCGTAAGAGCATGGTTCTGGGTGGTACCAGAGACTCATTAGCCCTTAACTACATCGGCACTTTATTGCATTGGCACTATACAGCGGAACAACGCATGAGACAGGTATTTTACTTAGAGGTCTAGGCAATCAAACGAGTTAGAACTTGACTGCATCAGCTCTGTGCAGCAAACCACCGCAGGAGAGCAGCATAAGCCCTACTTAGAAAACCACAAAGAGACAGATAGAGAGAGAGAGAGGGGGAGAGACATTGAGATGCAGACTTGGGAAACACGAGTCACACGTGTACTTGCAAGAAGGCAGCTCCCCTCATCTCGCAGTACTACAGTTCTGCCAAAAATGTTTAGGAAATTTAGGACATCTTAGGACTTACTGTATGCTGTTGATTGGGTGAGTAGGCCGCTTCGCAAAGAGGCTCAAGGTCTGCTGCACTCCCTGGTGCAAAAACAAGAACCTTGTGAGCAGCCGTGGGCTTCGGTTGCTGTGTCCTGGCTGCATGACTGCAAACAATGTTGACATTAGACAAGGCTGTGATGACGTGGTGTGCGGCCAGTCGACCAAGTTTCCGGTTTCAGATGAGATTACCAGGAGCACCCTGAAAGCCAGACCGCGAGCGGGAGCCAAGCGCAATACCAGCAGGAGGAGCCGGAAGCATTGATTCAATCTCAATCTCAGCGAAAATCTCATGCACGTTGCCAGACCAATATGAAAATGAAGAACACACGTTGGGTGGGACACATGCATACACACAGCATTTCACTAGGATCGCTCTTCTCAAATGCGGACCGAAGAGCGAGCACCGCCGGTGAAGCGCAAACGTGCTCCAGGATCAGGCTATGGACAACGGTTCAGTGATGTTCCCCTGCCAAAGCATTTTGACTCTGTCGAGGCTACATGCTCTTTGTGAACGAGAACTTCAATCGTGTCCGCACTGAGCTCTCGAAGGGGGATGGGCCTGGAATGCCTTGCTTCAGCAGCATTGCGAAGGTGGGTGGGGTCCGTTGCGCTGCGAGGGTCAAATCGGACGAGTCGAGAATGTAAGTACAACAGGGCGCCACTGATTCTTGAGTTCCACAAAGCCATCCTTGCTCGTGATTCACATCCAGGAAGCAGCTGCCCAGTGGCGCTCTCTTTCCCGGAGTGACCAGTCTGAGTACACAACTCGTGCTGCTGCCCTCAGGGACACGCTCAGGAGCAACATCACTGTGAGATACAAGTGCAGCACAGTGCAGAAAGACGAACTTTGTTCAAGATTTCTGAATGCCTTAATTTTTTTTGCACCGGAATATGATGGTGCAGGCCTGATGCGGCTCTAGTCCCTTCAGAGCCACGAACAAACTCAGGACGTTTCGGCCGGGGGATGTTGTATATCTGATATCTCATACAGCCATAACTGCCATAACACATGCACTATCTATAACTACAACTATCTCCGGCTCTGGTTGAGAGTTGGCCCCGTGGTTGCTGCACTTGGCCACTTGACAGACAGTGCAAGCCTCACCTTCAAGGCCCCTCGAAGGGCAGGGCGCAGTCCTTGCATTCATTGAAACGAAAGTGGGTCGAGCTTCTTTGCTTGCATTCAGTCAGCGAGCGAGTAGTTCGTGCATGCTGGAGTGCATCATGCTGGGAAGCCACATCCCAAGGCACGAGCTGTCGAAGTGGGAGGGAAAGCTCAGAGAGGAATGGGAAGCCTTGTGTGCAGATGAGGCTGCCGTCACCGTCCTTGTAGAGAGCGAATTCACCAGTGGCATTTTTGTCAGGTTAGTGCTCAGTTGGTGGCCTGGCGAATTCGTGACTTGCAGACAATCTTGATGACATCGAAACTTGCACTTCGACTCCGTTTTCCGCCAAGGTGGCCTAGCAGGAGCCAAAGACACTCAGGAACGGCTTGGATCCACCCTGGATGCTCTCATTTCGCAGCGCATGTCAGATCCTGTGATTCCAGGTGGCCTGGTTGTGTTTGCATTTTGCATTGTAGCATGGATCCTTGGCTTGATTCCCTTCAGGCGGGTCTGCAACCTTGCTGAGCCGTTTGGGCCTTTCCAATACCCATCTTCCACATCCAGCAGTTCTTTTTGTAGAGTGGGAGGCGTGGGGTGGGGGTCTTACGTGGACTCTAGTGTGAAAAAAAGAGTGAGGCAGCTGCTTTGGAGTGCTCTGGGGCAGATTTGGAAGCAGACACCTGCTTGCAAAGTAAATTCAGGATGCATTCTGTTGCAGACCATGTAACTGATGCTTGGTTCGTGATAGCCACTGAGCTTGCAGCTTTTCTCAGGGTCCTCATCATGAAAAACCATAGCTTTAGAATGAACCAAGGCAGCAGCTCAGTGCCTGCAGCGTTACCGAAATCTGTCTCCACTTCGTTTGGCAGCCTGGTGGTCAATAATCGAAAGTCGGGCCAGCCAGCAAGAGGAGAGGAGTAGTCCTGGAAAGTGACGGGTTACAGTCCAACGGTTGGAAGGCGACTATTCCAATTGAATGAAGCCAGTCGAATGGACCTTGACAGTCTAGCTTCTAGTGGTCTAATCAGTGTCAGAAATTTGTGACATGATGCGCGGAAGGAGGCCATCAAACGCGTACTTTCGGACAAGCTTAGTTTGGTCGAAGCCATGATGAACAGCAAGGTGCGAGCTGCGACTCACCCACGCTGAGACACTCACAGCTGACTTGTGCGAAGACACTTGTGGTCACTTCTCCTATTCGACTTCCCGTCAATTCCTAGTGTTTTTTCTCCTTTTTTTTTTCCTCTTATTTTTTAATCTTCTTGTGTCTCCTTACTCCTCTCGTTCAGGAGGGTTGCTCCCACGGCTCCTCCCGGTTCACCTCGGCATTTCACCATTTCCGAGCGGCCCAGCTGAGCAGCGCGTTGCAGGTGCCTGGAGGCCTGAAATGGACAACGGGCTAACTGCACGGTTGCGGTTGGTGGTCAAAAGAGGCAGTTAGATCAGTTCGCCACATGTCTGCGCAAGACTCTACATGTCAGGCCACCTACTTGATCCTTTGTGGGAATCAACGCAAGAGGAGGACTTCATCAGCCTGGATGAGGACAATGCTGTTGTTCGAAGTGCACCCCCTTCATCGTTCAGTCCATTCAGTTTGGCTGGAAGCCATCAGGACGGGTTGGCGCGCTGGTTTGCAGAGGTGGGCAGTCAAAATTCGGACATGCACCCAATGCACAGCCTGTGATCCACCGGTGGCTTTGTACAGTTATAAGATCTGGCTCGCCCCGTGCAATTGAAAGCGCTTCACATGAACTGTGAAGGGCGGGCATGTGAAGGGAATAGAACTCAACATGGAGTAGACCTTTGTGCACGGGACAACAGGCACGAACAGTAGATTCAATGTCTCAAGACATAACTTTGTGTTGGCAAAACGTCACGGCAGACGAGCCATGAGGGATCTCTGATTCTGCCAGGGATTTTGGCTTGGGTCCAGAAACAGGGCCAGTGGTAGGAAGCATCATGCAACCGAATTAGTGGCATTGAACAAGACTGAGTGGCCACCTGGCTAACTTACGTTCAGAGCTTGTGGAGCCAAGGGGGAAAGGCGCTGAAAGCTGTGTGGCTTGAAAGTGTCAAGCCTACCAAGAGCTCTGGCGATTTGTTGAGCACGACCATCTGTCCCAAGGCATGGTCCCAGAAACGCTACAGCCATCCTCGGGAGAAGGACCTTAGCAGCGACTCCTGCAAACTGCACACGTGATTGGCTTGAGACAGCCTTTGGGTAGACCCCATTGTTGAAGGCATTCCACAACAGCAGTTTCAGTGCTGGCAGGACTCAGCAGCACAACTGCAGCTGCGGAAAGCTTTGGGAGAGTACAATACGCAGCACTAGCCTCAGTAGTAGATTGATGGGCTGTTCAGGATTCATATGGATTGTCATGAGCCCGTACGGTACATCACTGCTCGGAGACCACACACACATCACAGACACATCACGGAGTTGAATGGCATATTGGGCTAGTCACTTCCAGATTCCTGAGGTCTGCATTTGATCCTGAACACGGTCAGAAGGGTGGGGTGAAGAATTTGGAGGAGGAGATTGAACGCTATAGGAAGCAACCTCCTCAGCCTCACTACCGGTGCTTGGCACCCAAGCCCGTCGAGTCACGCTATGCACAACGTTGACAATTGGATCATGCCGGGTCAACTCAGGTATTCAGAGCTCTTGCGGACACAGATTGTGGACTCGGTGACGTTCTTGCATCAAGATGTATCACTTGGATCCAAGGCTGAGAAAACTGAGAAAAAGGGGGCCTTGACGCGAACCCATGTATATAGACAAGCTACGCTCTTAAGTATTATGTGCCTTCCTGCTTGCAAGGTGACAGAGTCCTAAGATAGACGATTATTGCCGTTTGGTGTCTGCTGCTGCGGAGTGGTCGGGTACAACCTCTTTGTGACCAGGTGTTAGTTGAGGGTGCCAACGCTGCACTCCTCGATGTCGACTTTGGCTGCTTGATTGCGTTAAGCTGTGTGGATTGATGAACGAGTGAGGACATGTTGAGCTGTTTCCAGGTCATCAGTTGCTCATACTTCTTTGCCTGCTTGGGGAGCAGTTCCCCTAAAAATTATGTCCCGATCGTTTTTGGGTTCAAGTGCTCGCCGAATTCCTGGTATTTAGCGCTAGCAGCCTAGTTTCCGTTCACGTGGGATGGGCTTGCTCAACTACTCCAAGCGGCACTTGGCGGCTGGCCGCCGCTTTTTTGCGGATGTGCCAAAGGCTGTGCAGCCAGCATCAACCGGGCAGGTGACACCAACGTATCCAGCAGTTTACGGGCGGTGCGAGGAAACGGTGATGTCACCCTACAAGGGTGGCCCTGTCTATCTTTGGCTCCGCTCCAGCATTGTTTGGCTTCGCCGCTTTCCTGGACGGCACTGGATTCGTTGGCTCTATTTCAATTGGGACTACCAGAAGATGTGCTTGATTGGCATGCCGGAAATGCATATTGATCCAACCAAAAACCGCTGGAGGTACTACATCGACACCAGCTACTATGGCGGCATGCTGGACAAGTCCCATGAAGATTTCAACCGCTACATTATGCTCTACCCGGCCATCGCCTTCTTCCTTCACTGCACTTGGTGTCGTATCAAGGACAACGACAAGGACAACTTTTTGGCCAAGTGGCGTGTTCCGGCCGAGGAAGCCTGAGAGAATGCTTGCCCGCAGAAGCCATCTGGCTTCCAGAAGCGTGGTAGATCTTCGCTAGATATTTGATGTTTGCAAAAGGGTGGAGAAAGCGCCGGGTCGTGGGACTTGTGCTCTCATGCTCCATTTTTCTGATGGTGCGGATGTAATATATATATATATAGTGACAAACATGTCCGTTATGCTGAGGTACTTATCCCTTTGTCACTTCTTCCAACACGACAGTTGGAAGTGTTTGCACTGGACTTGGCGTGCCACCAAAACTGGTAGACACAGTGATTGGAGTGGCAGGGCTCCCAGTCATTTTGTCTCTCCTATGGGCCTATGAGTGATGTAAAACAGACTGAAGCAGTGGACGTAAGGTGAAGGCCTACACCACACGAGTTGGACACGGGCCTTTCCCGACGGAGTTGCAGAATGAAATGCAGTCCTTGGAGGCTGCTAAGATGTTCAAGGCTTACAGGTCACAAGGAGGAGCTTAGCGCTGCCAGGACTTTGATGAGACATACATAGGGCCAGAGGCCACCTTCGAACGCAAGGGGCATACAGGCCAGTACATGCAGGCTGACGTCATGTGCGCTTGAGCAAAGATTCATGCTTTGGCAGGTGGGCCTTTCAAGTGCACCCCTGGTCAGCCTGTCAAGGTTCCATTCGGTGCAAGTTGGTGCAAGTTGAAAGATGATTGTACTGTTCGGTGACACTGCGCGTCACGTTCCGTGGAATCTTAACGAGAGAATTGCGCAGTCTCAGAGTCTCAAACCGTGCAGGTTGGGATGATGCTGCAGGAAGTTGGTGCCGAGTATGGCACAACGACCGGGCGGAGAAGAAGATGTGGTTGGTTGGATTTGGTTCCTTAGCTATTTGAAGATAAGAAACGCATTGCAGTCTTTTTGCACTGCATGCAGCCGTGGCAGTGAATCTAAGTACGGCTAGGTAGCAAAGCCACAGCTTGCGTTCGTCACGTCGGGTTCGTTGTTGCGTGCAATTTCTGTCAGAGTGCCTTCGAGCTCCAAGCGGGAACCTTCACAAGCCTTTTTCTTTACCTGTAAATCTGATCTCAGCAAACATTCACATTATTGAGACTGTGAAAGCTGCAGCTGGACTCTTGCAAAACATTAATAGACCTGTGAGTGTGTCTTATGAATAATTAACCATCGTTTGGCATTTTCAGTTCAAATCTTGAGTCCTTGACCGAGATCAGCTTGTGGCAGACTGCTCCAAGGCCTTGGTAAAATACTCGGCGCTGGTGAATGGATTTGATACTTGGAGAGAACCGCAAATCCACAAGGCAGGGCTCTTCCAGCCCAAGCTAAGGACAGCCTGAACATCACGAAGCTTGATGTCCTCACTGGGCTGAAGCAGATTCGGGTTGCAATAGCTTACAGGAGCCATTGCTGCAATAGTGTTGCTGACACTAACTTTTGAAAAATGCAATGTGAACGATACGACGAGAACCAAGGAATCGACAAATGACCGAAGTGCGCCTTCCGAATGGATATTTCCCATCACACTTGGATGATCTCAAGGCGTGCTTCTATTGAAAACAGCACTTTGGTGGTGTTGTCAGTATTGTGGGCACTAGTTCTTGAGCTACCGCTCTGTCAACTTGCTGTCAATTGATCTCGCCTGTCAGGAGGTGGTTTGTGAGTATGACACTTTGCAGAGATTATCCGAGGCAATGATGGGGACAGACATATTTACGGATTGTGCATACTGTTGTGTTTGTGATGCTTATTTTTTTTGTCTTGTTTTGTTTTGGTTGGATCGTTTCTTTCGAAAAATTGCTGTTCGCCTGAGTTCCTGTGTGTACCCCGTTTCAGCCACCCACTGCTGCGGTTCCTGTTGCTCTCAGTTGTGCCGCGACATTTGTACTAAGGAAACCCTGCAAGGGTGGGCAGAAGACATATCCAAATGTGCAAGTTGGGAAGAGCTGCCTGAAAATGCCAAGAAGTACGTTGTGAGGACACCTGCTTTGCAACTGTAGGCCCTGAAGCTTTCTGCATGCTTATAGAAATGTCTTCAGGATTGAAGAGCTACTGGGCATTCCTGTCTCCTGGGTGTCTTGGCGAAGGGTTGACTGTATATTTCAGACAAGACAATCATTATGGAAATTGGGGCCTTATTCTCTTGTGTTCGGGATCAATCACGGGAGCCCCAGCAATTATCGATTAAAGCCTTCAAGGTAGTTTGTGGAACGATTTTGCGTCGGCCCTTTGGGACAAGTTTCAGATTCGATCCCCGTTCTCGCATAGTGCGACTGCCTTACTTTTGAAGGTGTTCCATGTTGCTTTTCTCCTTGATGTTGGTGTCGGTGTGAAGTGGTGTGGCTCTCAGGTAGGAGTTGGTCCAGACCGCAATAGCATGCTGAAGGTTCCAAAACGAAGGCTGGGTCTCATGACAACTCGCTCGAATCTTGGCCCGAAAACAGAAGAAATACGGGAAGCTGGCTTCTTGAGGGGTGGCAGGTTTGTGGAGTTTGTGCGTTCCTGTTTGCATCCAAGGGAATCGAGCCTTGTGCCAAAGCTCCCGGGATCATGACTGCTGAGTAGCCCTAGAATCCTAGAACGTGCCACGCTGCTTCTGATGCGATAGCTTCGGGCACTCCAATCTAGCGGAGAGGTGCGTTTCGCTTATCACCTTTCAAGCTGCATGGCAGACGTCCAGAGGCGGACCTGCTCGAACTTATTTCACTTTGAACTTTGGGGAGCTCGGTCAAAGGTTGCCGAGCAGTTTCTTCAATGCAGCCTCAGATCAATTATTGGTTGAAAATTGAAAATGCATTGGGGCACGGCAAGGTACGATTTGCACAGGAAGCCTTTTGCAGTGGCCTATTTTCCACTTCCACGATTGTCAGAGAGAGAGGTAGTTGCAACATGTGGAGGTGGCTTGACATGGTACCACTCGCCCGATAGCAATCTATAGCACCTGGAAGCCGGGGGAGCGGGGACGATCGGCATTTGCCGTTGCAGGCTTTCAACCGGTGGCCTCCGTTCTCTCGGCTTTGCGTGTGGTTTTGAAAACAGGTCCCATGGATGTCGGCAGACAAGACTTCCGAAAGTCAGTGCCTGCACCCAGAACAGGAAGCCGCTGCAGCAGAACAACTTTTCTCAGGGTTCGGACCAATGAAGCTTGCAAGGCCAAGCGAGCCAAAGAAGCCTGAGCAAACGAAAGAAGTGGATGAGGAGGTCGAAGCGGTACTGTTCAGTGGGTCTTTAAGTTGTCAGACTTTTGTGAGCAGTTTTGCCAGGTGGGTGATGTAGCGGATGTCAAAGCAAAGGGTGTCAAGGCGGATGGAGCTGGTACGGCCTGAGCTCCAATGAGCGAACCAGTTGTGACACAGTGACATCAGAGAGTGACTTTGAATGTGCTGAGGTCGGACCAGTAGATGGCAGCACCAGTGTCAGAAGCTTTTCCTATGGTTATGTAGTTGATGCAGATCAGATTCATCCTAGAAGCTGAGATGCATCTTGCACTGAGGCCGGCAGCGGTGCAGAAAGTTTAGAGGAGATTTATTTTTCTGGTTGATTGTAGTATGATGTAATATGACATTCATTCTTCATGGAAGCCATGGTGTGCCGGTTGTGTTTGTTTGAAAGTGCTGGGGCTATGATCACAGGACACTTTCGGTTCCTCTGCGAGCAAGGAGTACACGTGGATGCCTCGGGCCATGGCAGCTATGGAAGCCGGAGGAGCTTTCGCATAGCGAGTTGGTTGCAGCGCCATGCTTCAGATACTCGCAGAGGTTTGGAAGTTCGCACAGCCAGCAGCTGGGACCTTCGAAGCCCAAACTTCCACCTCTAGGAGCTGAATTTGGAAGAGACGGAAGAGAACGGGACTCCTGACATCAGACGGTTCCTTTATATACCAGTGATTGCTACTGATTCCTAACAATCTGACTCGGAGGACCGTCGGGCTCTTCGGCAGAGTGCTTAGTCCTTCTGAGCCTATTGACGTGCCCTATTCACATTTTTCGTCGGTTTCAGAATTGACCATGAAGCGTGCTGGTAGTGAACTGGAACACTGAATGACCACATAGAGTTTGCACGTTGTGAGCCAAGCAGCTGGTGACTATCACTGGAAAGGTGCCTGTTCAAAGGTGCTCAAGACCCCTGTGGCAAAGCCTTGGCCTGGCTCCTTGATCCACTTGATTCCTTTTCTTAACCCATGGCTGACCTCGATGAGAGCAACCTCCGACGCTACCTTGACGAAGCGGTAGCTTGTAAAGCCGTGGCCGAGAAGGTTATGTGCGTACTCAGGGACTAGAGTGGGTCGGGAAAGGCTAGCACCTGTTCTGTGATGCTGTGACATTGCCAGTGCCGCAAAAAGCAATACTCAATATTTTGTTAGATCAGTCATGAGCCGAGCTGATACAGTTCCACACTGAGGTAAGTGCAGCACATGAAGCAGGAAACCTAATGCTGGAATGCTTTGCGCGCAATGACGCTCATACGTCAGTAGAGGAAGCTTAGATGAAGCTTGAGCTTGAGAATTGATTTCCCCGAAGGCTTCATGTTCTTTTTTGTAGGTGAGGTAGGTGCTTTTTGAGATAGCTCTTTCTCGTGCTGTAATCAATCTAATCATTCTATTTTCGACCCCTTTGTGTAGCATTTCGTGTATAATCACCCAATTTTTCGACCTTCTTGACATTGTGCATTTTCACGTGGTCCAAATCATATCCAACGATGCTTGGAAATTGCAAGCATGACATACTGTAACCAAACATTTTGTAAGAGGGTCCAAAGACACAGTGATTATATAGACTTCTACTGTATTTTATTCATCCACTGCATGCGGCTGTTCATCTCTATTCTCTAAGTCTTGCCTCGAGCATGTGCATTCCATATTTTACTGTATTGTTCGACCTCTTGAAATTGTACAATTTAAGGGGGTCCAAATTGTGAAAAATGGAAAAGGGGTGGAAACGTATTTTCAATCAATGTGGCAAATTGCAAGAGCTAAACAATTTGTAAGAAGGCTCGATTATATAGAAGTCTCTGTTTCATCCTTTGCATGCTGCGTTCTTTTCCAAGTCTTGTCTCGGTCATGCACTTGGTATAGTTTTTTGTCCATAATCACTCAGTTGTTCAATCCTCTTGAACGTTTACATTTCTCAGGGGGTGTTGATACAAGTTGGTCCACCAGAAAGGACTTGAAGAATAGAGTGATTATGTACAGTAAGCTTTGCATTGCAACCAGCCGATGCATATGATGCAACAATGAGAGATATGTTAACACATAGAGTGTCGATGGGAGTCGTTTGTTTGCCTGTGATGGGCCTGGTGATGCACATGATACAAAATGAGAGTTACAATTGCAACCAACTGATCCATATGATGCAATAATGAGAGATTTATATAGACATAGAGTGTTGAGACGAGGTGTTTGCTTGCCTTTCATGTTCCTTGTGATGCAAATGATACAAGAATGAGAGGTATAGTACATGCCATCTGAAAACCATGTGTTTTCAATGTTTTCTTCCACCTCCACTTATCTCCCAGACACACCTCATGATGCAAAATACGGCAGCTGCAGGGCCGCTCCAGGTTGCTGCGAGACGTCCAGGGCGGTGTGCGCTTTGGAGCTTGGGTGCTTGGGCCACTGCAGGATGCCGTTGCTGCCGCTGCGGGGTGTTGCTGCCAGATGCCAATGGCAGTGGAGCCTGGGTGCTGGTGGCGGTGCAGGGCACTGCTGCTACTGCTGCCGCAAATATATATACATATATAATCATTTTTGCTACCTGGGGTTTTTGCTGGCGTGATTTCTACCAAACTAGTGGCTAAGACTGTCTTGTTGGAATAACGAAACTCCGTCCTCTCACATTGCCAGGCGCCGCTCCCGGGTGGTGGGAGATGTCAATGGCCGTGTGCTTGCTTTTTGGAGCTTGGGTGCTGATGCCGCAGTTGGAGGGTGTTGCTGCCAGATGTCTATGTCATTGGAGCCTGGGTGCTGGTGCTGCAGCGTGCAGCTGCAGCTGCCGACAAATATCTATAGCTGGGGTCTGTGCTGTCTCTTTTTTTCCCGAATGCGTAGCGGAGGGTTCTCGTTTAACTCTTGGGGGTCTGGGGTAGAGCCTTGTTCGCGATCCGTTGTTTCTACGTCCGCAACCGTCCGCAACCGTCCGCAACCGTTCGCAACCGTTCGAAACCGTCCGCAGGTGTCCGCAGTAGAGCGCTAAGGCGCTGCTTTTGCAAGTGACTTTTCATGGATGTGTCACGTGTCAGTTTGCGATGCTATTCCATTGTGATTTGCATGAAAATGACATGTCGCGCAAGAAGCGTGATGCATTTCGCTGCACAGGCGCAGCGTTTTGTGAGATCCTCAGTTTGCTACGCAGTTCCATTGGGATTAGCGTTTGGAGAGTCGTGTTTTTGGGGCGTTGGATGTGGCCGTGCCATTGGGATTTGCGTTTCAGGGTGTGGCATCGAAGCTCTGTTTTCGTGACCAGTCTCAGCTGAAATGGCGATTTTGGTGGATGGGAGTGTGTTCAGAACGGGTCGAAATCATTCCAAACGTGTGGCGTGGTGCAAATTTTGTTGAAGCTGACATGAGATGATATTGCCACTTTTCGTGGCAGGCGCAGTACTTTGTGTGGGGCTTTGAGGCGTGGAAGTGCGATTCTCGTGGCAGGCGCAGGGAATGGTGAGGTTGCGAGGTGTGACGGAGGTGACATTTCGTGGCAGGCGCAGTACTTTGTGCGCGTTAGACGTGTGGATGCGGAAAGATTCGTGGCAGGCGCAAGGAATTGTGAGGGTGTGAGTTGTGGTAGAGGTGAATGTCGCTGTCACAGTGGGATTGGCGTGTGAACGGGTGTTGTTTGGAGGGGCTGGACTCGCGAAACTGCTTGGCAGGGCTGCGTGATGTGTGTGCTCCGATGGGTGTTTCCGCTTGACTTTTGGAGGAAGTCTCGTACGACATGCTCGTTTTGGAGACTTGACACGTGACTTTTGGAGGAAGTCTCGTACGAAACGCTCGTTTTGGAGACTTGACATGTGACTTTTGGAGGAAGTCTCGTACGAAGTACGAAACGCTCGTTTTGGAGAATTGACGTGTGACTTTTGGAGGAGGTCTCGTACGAAGAGTGCCCTACAAGAGTGTCCCACAAGAGTGTCCTACAAGAGTGTCCCACAAGAGTGTCCTACAAGAGTATCCCACAAGAGTGTCCCACAAGAGTGTCCCACAAGAGTGTCCCACAAGAGTTTCCTACAAGAGTGTCCCACAAGAGTGTCCCACAAGAGTGCCCTACAAGAGTGTCCCACAAGAGTGTCCTACAAGAGTGTCCCACAAGAGTGTCCTACAAGAGTATCCCACAAGAGTTTCCTACAAGAGTGTCCCACAAGAGTGTCCCACAAGAGTGTCCCACAAGAGTGTCCTACAAGAGTGTCCCACAAGTGTGTCTCACAAGAGTGTCCCGTATGAGTGTCCCACAAGAGTGCCCCGCAAGAGTGTCCCGCAACAGTGTCCCACAAGAGTGTCTCACAAGAGTGTCCCTTAAGAGTGTCCCACAAGAGTGTCCC